CATCATCATCATCGTCCTCATCAGCATCATCATCATCCCCGGTCTCCTCCTCATCCTCGTCCTTCTCCTCCCTCTTCCTCCTCCTCCACCTCCTCCTCCTCCTCCTGCTCCTCCCCTCCCTCCTTCTACTCCTCCTCCTCCTCCACCTTCTCCTCCTCATCCTCATCATCAACAACATCAGCATCATCGTCAGCATCAGCATCATCATAATCATCATCCTCATCAGCAGCAGCATCGTCATCATCAGCATCATCATCGTCAGCATCATCATCATTACCACCATGTCATCAGTAGCATCTTCATCATCCTCATCAGCATCACCGTCATCACCAGCATCAGCATCATCGTCATCATCATCATCATCATCATCAGTATCATCATCACTATCACCATCATTAGCATCATCATCATCATCATCATCATCGTCATAATCATCGTCATCATCATCGTCATCATCACCACCACCATCATCCTCAGCATCACCGAAATCGTTATCACCATCAGCAGCATTATCATCCTCATCATCTCATCATCATCATCATCATCATCATCATCATCATCATCATCATCATCGCATTCATCATCAGCATCATCATCCTCATCGACATCATCGTCATCAGCATCATCAGCATCATCAATAGCAGCATCATCATCCTCATCATCGTCACCATCATTACCCTTAGCATCATCATCATCAGCATCATTATCGTCATCATCGCCATCATCATAATCATCCCCATCATAACCTGATCAGCATCGGCATGATCTTTATCATCTTCACCATCATCATCATCCTCATCAGCACTATCATTATCGCCACCATCATCAACATCAGCATTACCATCAGCATCGCCGTCGTCATCACCAATATCGTCAGCATCATCACCATCCTCATCGTCATCGTCATCATCGTCATCAGCATCACAATTACTGTCATCATCATCACCACCACAAGTATCACCATCAGCAGCATCGTCATCGTCATCAGCATCATCAGTATCATTATCGTCGTCAGCATCATTATCACCCTCAGCAGCAGCAGCATCATCATCAGCACCATTATCATCAGCAGCGTCATCATCAGCAACATCATCATCAGCATCATCATCGTCCTCATCCGCATCCCCCCCCTACCCTCTTCATCGTCATCATCACCACCACCATCACCATCATCATGATCATCTTCATCCGCATCACCATCATCATCATCATCATCAGCATCATCATCCGCATCACCATCATCATCATCATCATCAGCATCATCATCATCATCAGCATCAGCATCAGCATCATCATCATCATCATCATCATCATAATCATCATCATCATCCTAAGTATCATCATCATAATCAGCATAAGCATTATCATCGTCGCTATCAGCTTCACCATCATCATCATCAGCATCATCATCATCAGCATCATCACCATCATCAGTATCATTCCCTTTCTCCTCTTCTGCCGCCTCTTTCTCCCCTCTCCTCCTTCTCGTCCTTCTCCTCCTCACCCTGCTCTGCGTCTTCCCTCCTCCTTCTTCTCTTCCCCCCTCCTCCCCCCCCATCCTTCTTCCCCCCTCCCTCCTCCTCCTCCTCCTCCTCCTCCTCCTCATCCTTCTCCTCCCCCTCCTCCCCCTCTTCCTCCTCCTCCTCCTCCTCATCCTCCTCTTCCTCATCTCCCTCCTTCTCCTCCTCCTCCTCCCCTCCTGCTACCGCCTCCCCCTCCTCCTCCTCCTCCTCCTCCTCCTCCTCCTCTTCTCCTCCTCCTCCGCCGCCTCCTCCTCCCTCCTCCACCTCTCCTCCTTCTTCACCTCCTCATCCTCCTCCGTCTCCTCCGCCTCGTCCTTCTCGTCCTCACCCTCATCCTCCTCCCCTTCCTCCTCCTCCTCCTCCTCCTCCTCATCAGCATACTCATCTCAGCATCAGTACCCGCATCATTACCAGAATCATCATCATCATCATCATCATCATCATCATCATCATCATCATCATCATCATTATCATCATCATCATCATCATTATCATCATCCGTATCATAATCACCACCACCATCACCATTACCATCACCTGCATCTTCTTCATCATCATCATCATCATCATCATCACCCGCATCATCATCAGCAGCAGCCTTATCGCCATCCTCGTCATCAGCATCAGCAGCATCAGCATCAGCATCATCATCACCACCGTCGCCGTCATCATCATCATCATCATCATCATCATCATCATCATCAGAATCAGCATCATCATCAACATCATCATCATCATCATCAGCAGCATCGTCATATTCATCATCATGCTCATCATCATCAGCACCACCAGCATCATCCGTATCGTTAAAATCATCATCGTCATCGGCATCATCGTCATCGTCATCATCGTCTCCAGCATCACAATGACTGACATCATCATCATCATCACCACCACAATTATCACAATCAACAGCACCGTCATCATCATCAGCATCATCAGTATAATAATCCTCATCACCGTGATCATCATCACCATCATTGCCATCGACATCACCATCATCATCCTCAACATCAGCATCGTCATCCGCATCGTCATCATCAACAACATCATCAGCATCATCATCATCATCATGATCAGCAGCGTCATCATCACCACCCACCGTCATCATTACCATCATCATCATCAGCATCATCAGCAGCAGCATCACCATCAGCATCACCATCAACAGCATCAGCATCACCATCAGCATCATCATCATTCACCTTCTCCTCCTTCTCCTCCTCCTTCTCCATCTCCTCCCGTCTCCTCCTCCACCTCCTCCTCCTCCTCCTCCTCCTCGTCCTCCCTCCCCCACCCTGTCCTCCTCCTCCTCCTCCTCCTCCTCCTCCTCCTGCTTACCCTCCTTCCCCTCCTTCCCCCTCCTCCTCCTCCTCCATCATCCTCATCACTATCATCAGCATCACCATCAGCATCATCATAATCTTCCTTCTCTTCCACCTCATCCTCATCATCATCATCATCATCATCATCAGCATCAGCAGCAGCATCAGCATCACCATCATTATCATCATCAACCACATCCTCATCATCATCATCAGCATTATCAGCAACATCATCACCAGCATTATCACCATCAGCATCACCATCCTCATCCGCATCCTCATTCTCCTCCTCATCGTCATCATCACCACCAGCATCATCACCACTACCATCATCAGTATCTTCCTGATCGTCATCGTCACAATCATCATCATCAGCAGCATGATCATCACCACCATCGCCGTCATCATCGTCAGCATCGTCAGATCCATCATCATGCTCATCAGCATAAGCATCATCATCATCCTCATCTTCATCAGCGTCATCATCATCAACTCCATCGTCATCAAACTCATCATCGTCCTCCTCCTCATCAGCATCATCATAATCATCGTCACAATCAGTATGAGCATTATCGTTATGACCATCATCATCATCATCATCATCATCATTATCATCATCATTATCATCATCATCATCGTCATGATCATCTTCATCGTCATCTTCGTCATCCTCGTTCTCATCATCATCACCACCATCGTCATCATCGTGATCATCATCACCATCGTTACCATCGTCATCATCACCACCAACATCATCAGCACCACCATCGTCATCCTCACCAGCATCATCTTTATCCTCATCATCATCAGCATCATCCTCATCCTCCTGATCATCATCGTCAGCATCATCATCAATCTCATCATCATCGTCAGCATCATCAGCAGCATCATCACCAACATCATCATATCCACGGTCAACATCATCACCACATCATCAGCATCATCATCATCAGCAGCACCATCGTTATCATCATCATCATCATCATCATCATCATCGTCATCATCATCATCAGCATCATCGTCGTCATCATCATCATCATCATCATCATCATCATCATCATCCCCCTCCTCCTCCTCCTCGTCCTTTTCCTCCCTCCTCCCCCTCCTCACCTCTCTTCCTCCTCCTCCTGCTCTCCTCTTCCCTTTCATCCTCCTCCTCCTCTTCCTCCTCCTCCTCCTCAGCATGATCAATATCATCATCAACATCATCTAATCCTCCTCCTTTTCCCTCCTCCCTCCTCCTCCTCCTCCTCCGCCGCCTTCCTCCCTTCTTCGAGAGGCCCTTTGCCGGACTGACCTCTGGCGCGGGCCCGCAGCCGAGAAGCAGACCCCCTCGAGCCACGAGAAAAACAATCACGACGGACGGTGTTTCGCTAGCTTGGGCCGCTGGGGGCCCTCGCTGGGCCTCGGGACGGTCCAACAACAGCTCAGGATGCGAAGCCGGTCCCAAGGGAACGGGTCGAGACCTCTGGGGGTCGTCGTCATGAACGAATCATGACGTCGATGGTTTGGGGATACCGATGCGGTAGGTTCGCGTCGTGTCGACCCGCGGCAATCCCGCCGCCGGCGTTCAACGTTGAGCGGCAATGGTGATCCAGCATCGGTCGATGTTGAACGAGCTGAAGTTTTGGAATTGGCCGATCGTTCAAGGTTGAACGATCCCCGAGGTGTCAGAAACCAACGCCGAAGTCGGCACCACACGAACCTGTCGTAAAAATAAGCTGTTGGGCGCGAAATTCGCCTCGTTTTTCACTCGCCGTCTCGGGGTTTCGCATCGACAGAGATCCGCGCGACAGTGCGCTGCAGCACGTCTGCAAGGCCGGTGCAGTGACAGGGGGTCGCCCTTGCCCAGCACGAGGGGGGGGCACTCTTCCTGCGCGGCAGCCGGCGAGGAGCGCAGGCGCGCCGCGGAGGCGCCGCGGGCCCGGCGGGCGGCGGAGGCGCCGCGGGCGGAGGCGGCGGCGGAGGAGCGGCAGGGGGCCGAGGAGCGCGCGCGGCAGAGGGCCGCCGAGGAGCGCGAGGCGCGGCAGGGGGCCGAGGAGCGCGCGCGGCAGAGGGCCGCCGAGGAGCGCGAGGCGCGGCGGCGAGGGGAGGAGGAGGAGGCGGAGCGGCAGGCGGCGGCGGCGGCGGAGGCGGAGGCGGGGCGGCAGCTGGCGGCGGAGGCGGCCGCGGCGGAGGCGCGGCGGGAGGAGGAGGAGGAGGAGGAGGAGCGCAGGGCGGCCGAGGAGGCCCTGGAGCGGGGGCGCTCGCGCGCGGAGGCGGCCGGGGCCAGTGCGCGGCCCGAGGGGCCGCCGAATGCGGGCGCCCGCGGCGCTCGCGCGGCGGCGGGCACGCCGAGGACGAGCGCCAGCGAGCCGAGCTCGAAGGCGGGCTCCCCGAGCCTGGGGGCGCTGGACCAGGCGGACCCATCCCTCCCGCATCCCTTCGGCCTCCTCGCCTGCCTCCTGCCCTTTCTCCTCCTCCTCCTCTGCCTCTTCCTCCTCCTCCTCTTTCTCCTCCTCCTCCTCCTCCTCCTCCTCCTCCTCCTCCTCCTCCTCCTCCTCCTCTCCTCCTCCTCCTCCTCCTCCTCCTCCTCCTCCTCCTCCTCCTCCTCCTCCTCCTCCTCCTCTCCTCCTCCTCCTCCTCCTGCCTCCTGCTCCTGCTCCCTCCTGCTTCTCCTCCTCCGCCTCCTCCTCCTTCCTCTCCTCCTCCTCCTCCTCCTCGTCCTTCTCCTCCTCCTCTCCTCCTCGTCCTTCTCCTCCTCCTCCTCCTCTTCCTCCTCCTCCTCCTTCTCTCTCCCTCACTCTGGTCATTTACAATATGGGCCATGTGTCCGTGGAGATGAAGCACAACATCCTCCTCCTCCTCCTCCTCCTCCTTCTCCTCCTCCTCCTCCTCCTCCTCCTCCTCCTCCTCCTCCTCTTCCTCCTCTCTCCTCTTTCTACTTTCTCTCCTCCTCTCTCCCCCTCTCTCCTCCTCTCTCCTCCTCCTCTCCTCTTCCACAGGGGGCGGGAGAGATTTGCCTGGCTGGGCGGTACAGGTCGGCCATCCCTCGGGGGCAGCTGCGCCGTCCTGTTCGGGAACGCCTGCCTGGCAACCCGTCTCCCAGCTGCGTGCCGCCTGCCCGTCGCCTGGTCCGCCGCCACAGGCAGATGCTGGAATGGAGCCATGACCCTTCGAGCATGGCCCCCGACCTGCGCGCGGCGTTCCCCAGGTGGGCGGCGGGCGATGGCGCGTGGCCGCAGCGGGCCTTCGCTCGCCCTTTGCCGGCGCCCAACCCGCCACTGGCCTCCCTTGGCGCCTCGTGGGATGGATTGGACGTCGACCCGCTGCCCGCGGAGACGCGCTCGACGCCGTCTCCCTCCCCCGCGTTCGAGTGCGACGCTAACGACAGCAGCCTCGGCCACAGTGTGGACTACCCGTCGCTCAGTGACCGTCGACGACGAGGTGGACGGCCAGAGCTGGCCCCCCCCCCCCGGCGACGACGAGTCCATGTCCGACCACGAGAGCGACCTCGTCGTCGACCCTGGCGCTCGCCCTTCCCTCCCACGGGGCCGCCCTGGGCCCGCGCCTCCGCCGCTGGCGCCCGCCCCCGCGCGCCTCGTGGCCAGCGAGCAGCTCGACTGGCCCAGCGCCGCCTGGTGGTGATGCCATTTTCCTCGATGGGCTGAAGCCTTCGCCTCTCGCCAGTGGCGCGACTCCGCCGTGCGCCAGCGGCGCTCACAGTGGCGCTCTTCGACCTGCCACTCGGGCAGCGCCACAAGGCGCCCTTGATGCACTTGCTCGAGGTGCTGGAGTTACCGCTCCGCGCCCCCGTGGTTCAGACTGTGGACCTGCTGACTCTGGCGACGACGTACTTGGAGCTGGTGGCTGCGCAGGAGATGGCGGAAGGCTAGGACGGCTACGATCTCGGTTCGCGAGCTGCCGTGTTCCCGGACTTCTGCCCGTGGGGCGCGGACTTCCTCCTGGAGCCGCTCTCGGCGGACGTGCCCATCTCCCCCGCGGGGCCCGTGCCCGTCGCCGCCCCCTCCGACATCGGCCTGGACAGCATCTCGTCTCCGATGGCCCCGTCGCCGTCCATCAGGGGGCCCCCGAGGTGTCCCGATGCCCGCCGCCCGCGCCCCGCGCCCCCGCGGCCAAGGCAGAGTGACAGCTGGCCTTGAGACGCTCGCTCCTCCTCCTCCTCCTCCTCCTCCTGTTCCTTCTCCTCCTCCGCCTCCCCTTCCTCCTCCTCCTTCTCCTCCTCCTCCTCCTCCTCCTCCTCCTGTTCCTGTTCCTGTTCCTGTTCCTTCTCCTCCGCCTTCCCCTCCTCCTCCTTCTCCTCCTCCTTATTTTTATTATTCTTATTATTCTTCCTCCTCCTCCTCCTCCTCCTCCTCCTGATCATCCGCCCTCCTCCTTTTCCTTCCCCTCCTCCTCGTCCTCCTCCTCTTCCTTCTCCTGCTCCTCCTCCTCTTGTTCCTCCTCCTCCTCCGCCCTGCTCCCCCTCCTCCTCCTCCTCCTCCTCCTCCTCCTCCTCCTCGTCGTCTTCCTCGTCCTCATTCTCCTCCTCCACCTCCTCCTCCTCCTGATCATCATCAGCAGCAGCATCATCATAATCATCATCAGCATCATCATTATCAGCATCATCATGATCATCCTCATCCAGCTCGTCCTCCTCTTTCTCCTCCTCCTCTGTTTCCTCCTCCTCCTCCTCCTCCTTCTCCGCATCCTCTTCCTCCTCCTTCTTCTCCTCCTCTCCATCCTTGTCCTATCCCTCCTCTTCCGCCTCCTCTTCCTCCTCATCCTCCTCCTCCTCCTTATCCTCCTCGTCTTCGTCCTCGTCCTCCTCTTCCTCCCTCTCCTTCTCCGCCTCCTCCTCCTCGTCCTCGTCCTCGTCCATCCTGCTGGTCCTTTCTCGACCCACCTGCTCCTTTGCCCCCTCCTCGTCATCCTTCTCCTCTTCCTGCGTCTCCTCCCTCTTCCTCCTCCTCCTCCTCCTCCTCCTCCTCCTCCTCCTCCTCATGTTCGTCCTCGTCCTCGTCGTCGTCCCTCCTGCTCCTCATCTTCCCGCCTCCTCCTCCTACTCTTCCGCCTCCTCGTCGTTCTTCTCCTCCTCCTCCTCCTCCTCCTCCTCCTCTCTCCTCCTCCTCCTCCTCCTCTCCTCCTCCTCCTCCTCCTCCTATCCTCCTCCTCCTCCTCCTCCCGTTCCTCCTCCTCCTCCTCCCCCGTTTTCCCTCCTTCTCCTCCTCCTCCTCCTTCTCCTCCTCCTCCTCATCCTCCTCATCCTCCTCATCCGCATCCTCATCATCCTCCCCCTCCTCGTCGTCCTCCTCTTCCTCATCATCATCAGCAGCAGCATCATCAGCATCATCATCCATCTATCTATCTATCCATACGTCCGTCCATCCATCCATCCATGCATGCATGCATCCATCCATCCATCCATCCATCCATCCATCCTCATCAGCATCTTCATCCAGATCAGCATCATCATCATCATTACCATCACCATCATCATCATCATCATCATCATCATCATCATCATCATCATCATCATCATCATCATCATCATCAGCATCATCCTCATCAGCAGCAGCAGCATCATCAGCATCAGCATCATCAGCCGCATCATCAGCAACAGCAGCAGCGTCATCATCAGCAGCGTCATCATCAGCAGCAGCATCAACATCAGCATCAGCATCATCCACATCGTCATCCGTCTCTTCCTCTTCCTCCTCCTCGTCCTCGTCTTCCTCGTCCTCGTCCTCGTCCTCCTCGTCCTCCTCCTCCTCCTCGCGTTCGTCCCTCCCCCTCCTCCTCCTCCTCCTCCTCTCTCCTCCTCCTCCTTCTCATTCTCCTCCTTCTCCTCCTCCGCCTCCTTCTCCTCCTTCTCCACCTCCTCCTCTTCCTCCTCCTCCTCCTCCTCCTCCTCCTCCTCCTCCTCCTCCCCCTCCTCGTCCTCATACCTCCTGCTCCACCTCGTCCTCGGCATGAGCGTGCAAACCCGACTTGTATGACTGATGATCTGGGGGGGGGCTCGTGCTCAGGGGAAGCTGCAGCACCACTCAACGATGTGCTGTTTAAAACCGATCCTGCAGGGTGGGCCCTTTCCCAAACCCGTGCTTCGGTGTGGGTCGCCTGCGCGCCTCGTCTTCGTCGTCGTCGTCGTTGTCGGCGGCGTCGTGGTCGTTGTGCGCGTTGCTCTGCTCGGTGCTGATTTTCCTCGTGCAGTGACCACCACCCAACCCCTGCTGCTGCTCCTCCTCCTCCTCCTCCTCCTCCTCCTCGTTCCCCTCCTCCTTCTCCTCCTCCTCGTCCCTCTCCTTCTCCTCCTCCTCCTCCTCCTGTTCCTCCTCCTCCTCCTCCTCCTTTTCCTCCTCGTCCTCCTCCTCCTCCTCCTCCTCCTCCTCCTCCGCCTCATCCGCCCTCCTCCTCCTCCTCCTTCTCCTCCTCCTCGTCCTCGTCATCGATCCTCCTCCTGCTCCTCTTCTTCGTCCTCGTCCCCGTCCTCGTCCCTCCTGCTCCTCCTCCTTCCTCCTCCTCCTCCTCTTCCTCCTGCTCCTCCTCCTCGTCCTCGTCCTCGTTCCTCCTCCTCCTCCTCCTCCTCTTCTTCGTCCTCGTCCCCCGTCCTCGTCCCTCCTGCTCCTCCTCCTTCCTCCTCCTCCTCCTCCTCCTCCTCCTCCTCCTCCTCCTCCTCCTCGTCCTCGTCATCATCCCTCCTCCTCCTCCTCCTCCTCATCCTCCTCCTCCTCGTTCTCCTCCTCCTCCCTCCCCTCCTCCTCCTCCTCCTCCTCCTCCTCCTCCTCCTCCTCCTCTTCCTCGGTCTCGTCCTCGTCCTCGTCCTTCATCCTCCTCCTCGTCCTCATATCTCATGCTTCTCCTCCTCGTCCTCCTCGTTCTCATCTTCGTCCACGTCGTCGTCCCTCCTCCTCCTCCTCCTCCTCCTCCTCCTCCTCCTCCTCCTCATGCTCGTCTGTTCTCTGTCTCTTGTTTTGTCTCTCTCTCTCTCTGTCTCCTTGTTTTCTCTCTCTCTCTCTCTCTCTCTCCCTCTCCCTCTCTCTCTCTTCCTCATTCTTTTTGTTTCTCCCTCTCTCTCTCTCGGCCCCAGCCTTGGTCCCTGACAGTTGTGGTAGAAGTCCCTCCATCCTCCTCCTCCGTCTCCTCCTCCTCCTCCGCCTTCCTTGATGAGCCTTCTTCCTCTCTCACCCTCCCTCTCTCGTTCCCTCCTCCTGCTGCCTCCCTCTCTCGTTCCCTCCTCCTGCTACCTCCTTCCTCGACCTCCACGTCCCCCTCGTGGAAGGTTCTGCTTCGGGCCACCCCGCTGGGGCAGTTGTGCCAGAGCTACGAAATGGGCTTCACGGACCAGGACCTGCAGAGGAGGCTGGAGCTCCAGTTCGCGAAGGCAGAGGGAGGCACGCCCAAGACGGCCGAGCGCACCCAGGCCGTCTCCCCGATGATCTCCCCGAAGCCCGCCCGGGACGGCGTCGCGTTCAAGGACCCGGAGCTGCAGCGGAAGCTGGAGGTGCGCAGGCTCAGGGCGGAGGGAGGTCGCGCGGGGCCCAAAGGGTGGACACCACCACCGCCTCCCTCGTCCCCTCCCTCTGCCAGGAGATGGAGGAGAGGGAGAGCAAGGGTGGAGGAGGGAGGAGGAGTATCGACGTGGTCCTTGGTGCATGCGCTCGGGGCCCGCAGGTCAGGGGATGGCCCTGCTCACCCCGACGCTCGTGGCGGCGCCGTGACGCGGCCCCAGAAGGGCGGCACGGCCGCGCCGTCGGCGGCGCGCCGGGAGGAGCCCGGAGGCTCGGCCGCGCCGGCCTCCTCGCCGCGGCACGCGGCGGCGCCCCCCGCAGGGGAGCGCGGCGCGCGCGATGGGCTCGGCTCGAAGCCACAGCTCGGGGGAGGCGCCGGTGCCGCTGCCGCTGCCGGCCTGCCTCCGCGGCACCGATAGGCGGGGCGGGCGTAAGGGGGGCTGCATCGGCATCGACCCCCAATCGCCCCTGGGATCGCGCAGACGGGCTGCGTCGGCGTCGGCCCCCAACCGCCCGTGGATCGCGCAGGTAGGGGCCCAAGAGCCCCCGCCCTGCCCAGGGGCTTGCGGCCTCACCCTCGGCGGCTTTTGTTCGCGGATCTGTCGACGATGTGTCGCCGACTCCAGGTCGATGCGTGCCCCCTGTGCCAGTCCCCCCCCCCTACCCAGTGATCCGACGTCTCGATCTTTTCGAGACGCGGGCCCCCGACCTCCCGACCGCTTCCCTGGGACTGGTTTTTCATCCCGAGTCTTTTTGTTGACGGTCCCGAGGCCCGGCGAGGGCCCCGAGAGGCCGAAAACTGCAAAAAACCTCCGTCTCGATTCTTTCGAGACGCCCGATGTCTGGGTACCCAGACCCCCGACGTGATGATTTTTTCATTACGTCGACCCCCAGAGGTCCCGACCCTTTCTCCATGACCGGCTTTGCATCCTGGGCCGTTTTTTGACGCTCCCGAGGCCCGGCGAGGGCCGCCGGAGGCCGAAAAGTAGGAAAAACCTCCCGTCATGTTTTTTTCATTGCTCGAGAGGTCTGGGGAGTCCCCCAAAAAATCAAGACGAGACGTCGGGGGTCTGGGGAAAAACCTCCCGTCGTGATTTTTTCATTCCTCGAGGGGGTCTGGGCATACCGTTGCCGCTCTGGCCGTGGCCACGGCCGGGGCCGCCCCCGGGGCCCATGTCAGAGCTGCGCCCCGGCAGAGGCCCGGGGAGGCAGCGGCGGGGCCCTCGAGGCATCCGAGGTATATGACTTTTTTTTGCAGTCCAGCGGGTCCTTCTGGACTCGGCACCGCTCGGACGCGTGCCTTTTCTTTCTCCCCAGACCCCCTCGAGGAATGAAAAAACCACGACGGGAGGTTTTTCCTACTTTTCGGCCTCCGGCGGCCCTCGCCGGGCCTCGGGAGCGTCAAAAAACCACTCAGGATGCAAAGCCGGTCATGGGGAACGGGTCGGGACCTCTGGGGGTCGACGTAATGAAAAAATCATTACGTCGGGGGTCTGGGTGCGAGGAGCATCCTCGATCCTCTGGCGACAGAACCACGCACGGAGCCGCTAACAAAAAAGCACAGGGAATGGACGCCCGAGCGACGGCCAGTGGACGTCGGCCTCCGGGGCCCGTTCTCGGGCCCGGGGGCCATCAACGATATGGACCCGTGGCCAGAAACCACCCGCTGGGGGCGGGGTCGGGACCCCGGGGGCCGCGGATGGAAGGACGCAGATCGGCGGATGTCAGGGGGGCGGAGCCAGGGCTGGGATCAGTCGCCCCAGACCCCCGACGTAGTGATTTTTTCGTTACGTCGACCCCCAGAGGCCCCGACCCTCTCCCCATGACCGGCTTTGCATCCCGAGTCGTTTTTTGACGCTCCCGAGGCCCCCTGTGAGAGCCCCCGGAGGCCGAAAATTAGGAAAGACCTCCCGCCATGATTTTTTTCATTACTCGATCGAGTAATGACTCAGACCCCCCTCGAGGGGGTCTGGGGCTCCAGGGCCTTCCTCTGCAACGCTCCCAGGACGTTCCGGAGCGCCCCGGAGCGGCCGCGGAGCCTCCCGGAGTGCTGGGTCTCATGAGGGATCCCCGATTCCCAGACATCGGGCGTCTCGAAAAAATCGAGACGGAGGTTTTTCATAGTTTTCGGCCTCTCGGGGCCCTCGCCGGGAAGCGGCACCGTCCAAAAACGACTCGGGATGAAAAGCCGGTCTCCGGGAACTGGTCCCCAGAGGTCCTCTGTGTCTTGCATGCAAGACACGCGCGCATGTGTCTTATATAAGACATAATTTCTTGTATAAGAAATATTAACGCGTTGGCGCGGCGCATGGATCTCGCGCGACGACGTCTTCGCAATTCTGCGTTGCAGCTGCAAAACACAATGATTTGTATGCCCACGTTGCGAGAAATATGAGGAGGAGGAGGAGGAAGGGCGAGGAGGAGGAGGGGGAGGAGGCGGAGGAAGAGGAGGGGGATGGGGCAGGTGGAGGAGTGGGAAAAGGTGGACAGGAGAAAGAGGAGGAGGAGAAACGGAGTAGCAATGAGTAGGAAACAGAGCAGGATTCTCGAGCAGCGGGAGGAGCAGGACGAGGACGAGGAGGATGAGGACGAGGAGGAAGGAAGAGCGAGGAGGAAGAGGATGATCATGAGAAGGCAGAGGATAACGAGAAAGAGGACCGCCAAGAGCGGTGAGAGAGGCGGAGTCACAAGGACTTGTTGGCCTCGGTGCAAGGGGGGGTGGAACGACCCAGACGACGTCGACGAGTGGTCGCGTTCCACCCCCCGAGGGAGTGGCTCATGTTGCCACTTCCGAGGGTTAAAACTGAGGCCAATCTGGGGCCTCAGTTTTAACCCTCATGCGGTCCATGGCGCCGTTGGTGGACGTACGCTGTCCTTTCATCTGATCGCTCCTGATCGCTCCTCCTCCTCCTCCTCCTCCTCCTCCTCCTCCTCCTCCTCCTCCCCCTCCTCCTCCTCCTCCTCCTCCTTTTCCCCTCCCCTACTACTTATCATCATCCACCTCCTCTTCTTCCTCATCCTCTGCCTCCTTCCGGCTTGCCAGCATCATCGTCGTCATCATCGCCATCATCGTCATCATCGCCTTCATCGTCATCATCGCCATCATCGCCATCATCACCCTCATCGTCATCATCACCTTCATCGTCATCATCGCCCTCATCGCCATCATTGCCTTCATCGTCACTGTCATCGTCATCATCATCTTCGCCTTTGCCTGTTAGGCTCGAGCATTTAATGGTGCAGCCCGAGCACGCATTCCCAGTGCGCGGCGAGCGTCCGACATGACCAGGAGCACTTGCCAAGACCCCGAGGCCGTGGCGACCGTCTTGGAAAAATACGCGACGAAGCCCGACTTCGTCACCTACGGCAGCAAGGTGGAGCCCAAGAAGATCAACGATCACGCCAGCATGTGGAGGGAGCTTCTCGAGATCCAGAGCAACGCCTCCTTCACGAAGCGCGCTATGGAGTCGGCCCTCGAGCATGTGTACCAGAAGAAGTCTGGCGAGTGGCAGCGCGAGCTCTCGAAGGAGGAGGTGCGGGACTGGGTCGTGACAGTTGCAGGTCGGCTTCGGTCCATGGGCAGGGACATCGGGCAGGCGCTGTGCAAGCAGTCGGTGCCTGCTTGGGCTGTGTCTTTGACTCTGCCCGAGGGCCAGCATGACGAAGAGCCCTCTGGCGAGGGCGCCGACGCCGACGTTGGCGACGAGGGCGCCCAGGAAGAGGATCACCACGAGAGCGGCGACGAGGCTGAGAACGACGAGGGCGAGGATGGCGCGCAGGTGGCCGAGGGCGACGCGCCGAACGACGACGTCAACTACTTCTACGGCTTCGACTTCGACACCAAGCAGGCGTGGAGGGCGCCGAGTGACAAGCAGAACATGAAGACGTTCACCAGTGACATCTACATCGGCGAGGCCACAGCAGACGACGACTTCGTGAAAGCGAAGTTCACTGACGGCGACACCGTGCCCATTCCCGACCTGTCGGTCAAGGAGTTCAGGGTCATGAAGAACGTCGAGCTCAACGCTTCCAGGGGCCCCCTCTGGGAAGCCATCATCGACGACAATCGTGGGCTGACGATCGCGAGGAGGGCCGACCGTTCGCCACTCCTCATCATCTTCGAGCATAACTACCTGGAGGGCTCCAAGTTCCAGGTCCTGCAGATCAAGCTGGCGGATGTACCTGGAGCTGCAGAGTTGCCGAGCATTTGGGACCAGACCATGAAGGGGCTCACCTTGGCGATCGAGCTCGCCGAAGTCTGGAAAGGAGGGGGTGTCACGAAGGCGGATCTTACCAAGGTGCGGGACGAGAAGATGCGCTACGCCGAGCAGCCGAAGCCGAAGACGAAGAGCGCGCCTAACCCGAAGAAGCGCCCAGCTGCAGCCGAGCCCACTGCGACGCCGAAAGCTGCCAAGAGCAGCGCGGTCGACGAGCAGAAGTCCACTCAGGTCAAATCGGGTGCCCCGACCTTAACTGAGACCTCGGCTGGCCCTTCGTCGGCCTCGGGGCCGAGCAGCGGCGAGATGAGTGGACCGCCTGGCGATTTGTGGGACTGAGGGCGGTCTCGCGATACGGGTTGCCGACGCGCCAGAGCATTCTCAGCAGTCTCGCTCGGCACTGGGATCGGTGCGCCAATGCGCGTGAACGCGCATTGATTGAAAGTTCAGTGGGGAAAAAACATCGTCTTCGTCATTGTCAACATCACCACCATAACCATTCGCATCACACTTATCATGCCCATCGTCATCAACGCCATCATCGACATCGCCATTTCAGTGACCATCACAATCATCAACACCATCATCACCATACACATCATCACCATTATCATCATCATGTTCGGAGGCCAACACCAACGTCATACATCATCATCGTCATCACCATCACTGTAGAGCCCTGGCAGAGTGCGCGGTGCGATTGTTGCGAGTTGGTCTGAGGATGAGGAGGAGGTGGAGGAGGAGGGGGAGGAGGAGGGGGAGGAGGAGGAGGAGGAGGAGGAGGAGGAGGGGGAGTAGGAGGAGGGGAGCCTGAGCACCACGTGGTTTGGAACAAGAAATGTTCGGCGCAGCCACGCCATCATCATGAACGGCATCATGATCACCACCATGACAGCCAACGTCGTTATCGTCATCATCATTGTCAGCAACATGGTCATCATGGTCACTTTTATCATCAGCATCGTCATCATCATCATCACCACATTCATGCATATCACAAATGCAAACACCATTCCGTAGCGATTTCGGCATCAAGCAGGCGTGCTTTTTGTTTTTGTGCAATTCAGCGCGACCCGAACATGGCAGTGGGGAACGGCGACGGCGCTGGCGCCGAGGCCGCCGCATGCACGGTCGAGAAGACCGAGGGCCACGGTGAAGACGTCGGGAGT